TCTTAGCCTGTATGCCTTCAAGTAAGGACACTGCCTCAGATTTCTCCCGTGGAGCAGCTGGTGGATTTGAACATGTGACCTTTTGGTTAAAAGCCCAATCCATAACCTAAAACAGTATGTATTAGCTCTATCAAAAATGTAGCCATGCAGTCATCCCTAATCAGTTGTGAAATACTTTAACGGTGTTCCAGGTTGCTTGCCGCAAATTTCTTTCCTTCTTTTTCTAGATAATACAAAAATATGTGGTTTTCCTTTTTCCTCAAGGCTGAGGGAAGGAGGTCTTTCAGCCTAGCTCCACGATTCAACCTGGACAAATCTACCTATTTACTATGTCTTCATTCTCCAAATCAATAGTTAGGGAGCTCTGGTGGCCCAGTGGATAGGGAGCTGCACTGTCAACTCAAAGGCAGATGGTTCGAAACTACCACCTGCTTTGTGGGAGAAAGATGAGCAATCTCCCCTTGTGCCATTTAAAGCCTCTGAAAACCCAACAGAAGGTTAGTTACGATCAGGTCCAATATGATGACAATGAGTAGAGTTGAAAAAAATGGGTTAAGAGGGAGAAATGTAAACCAACCATGGATAAAAAGAATCTGGCACATGGTACCTAGAAATTATTCTTCTACTGCTGAATATTACTAGGTCACATGTAAAGCCTGGGATTATACTTATTTCCAAAAGGCAACATCACTCTATTTGTATGCAATTATGTGCACATCTGGCTCTTTTTGCTAATCACGTCTGACCATAATGAGGCATTTTTGCAAGCATACTGTGCTATTTTGTTTTTACATGTCATGGTAAAAAAAATTACAATATACTTATAAAAATATCTGTGGTGGGCCATAAATTGCAAAAAAGTAGATCACGTATATTACCTTTTTGAAAATACAGTGTAAGTAATTTTTATTTTCTTTTTTGTACTTTTCTCCCTCAAAATTTATCAAATAGGTTATGCATTATTCCTACAAAGGGAAGAAAAAAAAAAGAAGAGCTACTTGGTTCTGCTACTTTCCAACATAGAACACTAAGAATAAGACAGCAAACAAACAAACAAACAAACAAACAAATAAATTACAAAACAACCCTTGAAAATTCTACAGAATATCTGAAAGAATGGTTTTAGATATTGGACAGTAGGCAATGCAAGACTGTGGTCTCTGAGGGAAGAAACTCAAATCAGGTGAGCATGTCAAGGGACAATTTTCAAGTGGGGAAGAAATGAGCCTGAATGGAACCTGGTGGTCTCACTGAGTCGAAAAGGCAGAGACTGGAATGTCAAAGGCCCAGACAACCTGGGCACATGGCACAGTGCCAGAGAAGAGGAATCTCCAAGTGAGAAAAGTTACAGTCTGCTGACTACTTGGCTAAAGGCTGAATGAGTGCAGTTATGGGGCCAAGAAAGAATCCCCCAGAAGGGAGAAGGCAGAAACACTGTGTAGTTCATACAAGGCTGTGCATAGTTTTTGCTCCCACTAGTCAGAGTAGAAAGGCAGTCTGATGCCTATGGCACAGGAAAGAAGTCTCCAAAGGGCTTTACTTTAAAACTGAAGGTAAACTGACATCAAAGGCTAGTCTAGGTCTACCATAAGCTTAAGAGCAACTGTCAAAGGATCTAACAAATTCCATGTAACTTAAAAGTATGTCAGAAAAACTCTGAAACTGTTTTAAGGGATGCACAAAGAACCACACCCAGGAATATAAAATTTATAATACCAGGCATCCAATAAAAAATTATCAGGCATACAAAGAAGTAGGAAAATATGACCCATAACCAAAGAGGGGGGGATCAGTAACAGAAACAGACCTGGAAAAAATACAGTTGATGGAACTATCAGAAAATGAGTTTTAAAAGCTACTACAAAAATGTTCCATATGTTGAAGATGACAGATGAGATAAACAGATATCAGTAAACTATGAGACTACACACTTTTCATTTATTTACCTAGTTAGGTTTCAAAAACAAGAACCTAATTGGTAGCAAAATTGGAGACAACCAATGAGACCACAAAATAAAGAGTAACTACATCATTACATAACTTCCAAATTACATCATTACATTACAGCACCCAAATTACACCATCACTTAAGCCCAAACTGTTACTGTTGCTGTAAAGTGTCCTCAACTCAATTTCAACCCCATAGCTATCTCATGTACCGTTAAACGGAACACTGCCTCACAGTCTTTGCTATGGTGGAAACACTGCTGCAGCTGCTATGCAAAACACCTGACTGAAGGTCCTCCTCATTTCAGCTGACCTCTTCCTTACCACACATGATGGCCTTCTCCAGGCGCTGGGCCTTCTGATAACACATTCAAAGTACACAGGGCCAAGCCACATGATGATCCTGACATCTAAGAACATTTTACCTGCATGTCTTTTTCCTAGACAGATTTACTCATATTTCTACTCTCAAAAAAAAAAAAAAAGAGAAAAAAAAACACAAAACAACTTCCCTGTCCCCCTAAAAGCCATAAAGTCATAGAGTCAGAATTTACTCATAGCTGAATCTCCAGTGGGTTTTCAGAGGGTCTGTATCACAGAGGAGATTGCCCATGTTTCTTCCATGGTGCAGTGACAGATTTAAACCCATAAAGAAGCTCCACCTTAATGTTAGCAGTGCAAATGCCTATTAGCTGTCCTACCAGAACTGCCAATATTTCTAGTTATTGCTATTACTTTTATGTGACATTGAGTTGCAGCGATCCTATGAACAATAAATAGCTTTGAACTCTGCTCTATCCTGAGCCAATTCTTGTTGGGTCTGAATTAGCCCACAGCTGACTCTCAAGTTTTCAGAGGCAGTAAATCAAGGGAGAGGAGATTACTTTTCTTTCTTCCTTGGAGTAGCCGGTGGATCCAAACAATGTACCTCTGTGCTGACAACACAGTTTCTTACCACTAAGTCACCAGATCTCCCTGTGCTAGGTGATATTAACGCCCTCTGCATGATCTACTAGCATAAATGGTAGAATAGAATTTTTAAGTATATTGTGTTAAATGGAAGATGTACATTATAAATTCAATGACTAAAATTACAAAGTCTCCTACCTTTCTTATGATCAGAATTTGCACAGTAAACTTTTTCTATTCTTTTGGCCTATTTGTGTCATTTTCTTGTACACAACATATAGTAAGGCATTTCTTTTCATTCAATCTAACAATCTTTAAACTGGATGAATGGGATTAAATCTAACATCCTGGTATTTGTTTTCATTTCAAGAGAAAATTATTCCCATTTTCCCCTTTCATCTCTTACATTCATTGAGTAGTACAACGTTTATGTATTTTGTGGCATATTAGCTATATTCATATCAAAGTTGGTATGTACTGTTGAGTCACCTGAAGCTCATAAGGCTCCTTGAACAGCAGATCTGAGTTTTGACCTATCTGGTGTTATCCTTACTATCTCGGATACAGGCAGACCCACTGTTAGAGTTATCATGTCATTCCTCTTGTTGAGTATTCCTCTCTTACACTGACCCTCCACCTTTCAAATATAATGTCCTTTACCAAAGACTTGTTCTTTCTAACAACATGCCCAATGTATGTTAGATTAAAGAGTAACAAATTATATAGTATTTTTTATCATAGTTTAAGAATACCAACCAAGAGAAACCAATAAAAAGTAAAGATAAAAGGATGGAGCGGAATGTTAGCAGACTCATATAACTTTGCTGTTGTTTTTTGCTGTAGAGCACGACTCATAGTGACCCTATGAACAAAAGGCCTGAAGATTTCTGTAATTATTGTCATTTCTCCAAGTTCATACATTTTTCATGTAATTTTACACTATTTGAATTCTATTAGAATAAAAAAAAAATCAAGAAGCCTTTGTCAGTTCTTCACTGGTCACTGGCAGCTCTGGGATCCATATGAACTCTTCTTTCCTCTTTCCTTTCTAATCCAACTCTAATTAAGTGTTCAGTCCAAAGTAGACATTCACAGCAACTATGCCAGTAGCAATACTCTCATTCTGCTAGATACTAATGTAGCAGCTTCCTTTATGTCAGTAACTGTGTTACAAAACTCTGGCTCATGGAACATAATAGGAAGCTGACCAAGAGGTTTTTATCTTCTCAAAAAAGCAACAGGTGAGGCTGGTCAATTCTGTTTCAAATCATGTGAGGTCTCTTCTGAATAGAAAAGAAATAAGGATGAAAACCCACATTTAAAGGATGGCAGAGATTGTTTCTGTCAGGTGCCACTGAATTGACTCTGACTCACAGCCATTCTGTGTACAACTGCATAAAACCCAGCCTGACCCACGAAGGCCTCAGTCCACGAAGCCATCAAGCAGCCAAATTAATACAACAAGTGACTGGCTCTGGGAAGAGAAGTCATATTCATTTAAACCACTGCTTAACATTTTGTTTCTTGTAAGAAAAAGTATTTCTGACTGATATAAACCACTGGTTCAAGTAGAAAGGGGATGCAGATGACATGTAAGCACAGTGTAAAACAAAATAAAAAAGACTATTTGAAAGAGGAATTTATAAGTCTTTGAATCAATCAGCATTTTTTTAAGTGTCTATTAAATGTGCACTTGCCTTAAATTCTCCTCTTGATCCTAAGATTCTTTGGACAGAAATCTTCTCTATTCTAGGTATGTTACTGTTGTTTTGGGCTTTCAAGTAGGAACCGACTCATAGCTGGCCCTCCAGCAGGGTTTCTGAGGCTATAAATTGCATGGGAGGAGACAGTTCCCTTTTCTCCCACAGAGTAGTTGATGGCTTTGAATTGTGTGCTTCTGGGCTGGCAGCATGCTCCTTACTGCTAGGCTACCAAAGTATTTTGGGTGCTCGAGCCAATTGTTGGTACACTCCATTTCCCTATGCCGTTGGTGGTGGTGGTGTTACGTGCTGTCAAGTTGCCTCATAGTGACCTTTATACAACAGTTACAAAGCCTGGAACAAGAGCTCCACAGATCTAATATACATTTTAAAGACATTGAGTACAGCGGCAGGACAAATAAGCAAGCAATGGTCATGTCTTACGTTCACATTCTCTGACGTCCAGGTTGAACTGCTGCAATGCTCCCAAAGTGAGCTGTCTGACTTCAGCTTCCAGTAAAAGTTGCATCAAGGATGTGGCTAAATGCTTACAAGCTGACATACACGCTGTCTGGGCCACCTTTCCCTGAAACACAAAGGTGGAAGTCACAGTGTCAACAAAAACGAACATAATTTTTTTAATTAGGCATTATTAGAATTCTTTCCATTGTTATGTTCTTCAATTTAAACAAGGGTAGCTGTGGTGGCTAAGTGGTAAGGAATTGTGCTCCCAATTCAGAGATACACACTTCAAATCCACGAGCTGCTGTGTGTGGGAGAAAGAGGAGCAATCTCCCCCTGTGGGATTTACTGCCTCCAAAAACCTGCTAGAGGTTTAGCTATGGGAGGTTCTGACACAACAGTACACAACAACAACAGCACAATTCAAATACTCTCGGCATTTATAGATCTAAATGACAACCATCTTAAAACAAAAGCAACCATTTTAAAAAAGACTCATTTTCTAGTCAGAAATCAAACAGCATGCTTCTAAATAATGTGTCAAAGTAGAGATCATAAAGGAAATGAGAAAATATTTTTAAATGAATTAAAACTAAAACATCATGTACTATAATTTAGGGATATCACTAATAAATTGCTTAGGAGCAAAGTTGTTCAGGCCTGGCAGCATTCACATTTACTGTTACTGTTTGGTGCCAATGAGTTGAGTATGACTCACTGCGACCCTGTGAATGACAGATCTGAACCCTGTCCTACCCTGCGCCACCCTCACCATCTCTGGCCCACTCATGCTCACTGCTGTAACCACTGTGTCAATCCACCTCGGGACAGAAATGCTGACACGGTAGGAAGTTTAGCAGCATCCTTGGCCTCTGTAGTAACTTCAAAGGAAAACAGTGTTCATCAAGGAAGAAGTTATCATTATTGTAAAAGCTATTTAGCTGTACTTTCATAAATGTGAATACAGGGAACAGTCTCTCAGGTCAGGTGACACTGCAGTGATCACTACAGGTCAGTGATGCACAGGGGGACCAACAGTGGGGCAAGGGGACATGGAAACTCCAAGAGGAAAGAAGGAAAACAGAGGTGGATTTGGAAGGAGTTTATCTTTCAATATGACTTCTCTAGCCCTTACTTGACGTTCCTCTGCAGATGGGTGGGACTATGCCAACGCAGTGTGTTGGCCTATCCACAAGGAGACTACTTTCCATTCTGCGATGGCCAGTCTCAACAATCTACAAGAAAATTAGCTAGTCTTGCCAATAAAGTGAAGAGCTCTAGCTGCAGAGGTAAGAATTCTTCCCTCACCAGCAGAGATGGAATTCTTCACCCAACCATTGATGACAGACTTTCTCCAACCCACTGAAATATAGGGCATACTTCAAGACAGCATTAGCAGTGATAGTGGCTGAACCAGAGAACTGATGCGAGATGGGACTTTAGAAGGGGAAGCTAATATTGGTAGGACGGAGAACTCGGGAAAACATAGTCATAAGGCTCGAGGCTGAGATGCCTAAAAGCAAATCTGGGAAGCTATCTTGACTATATTTTGTTATCACTCTGAATTATAACCTTTCAAGTCTCCCAGTATGGTTCTGTGTGGTCTGTGAGCTATCACACTGGATTTTGAACACAGCCAAGCAGTAAGATTGGTGTTGAGATGAGTAGAAAGAGGCATGAATGGGAGCACGAAAGAGTAGAACAGGAGTACGAGGAACATGTCTGTCCTCAGGGGAATTGGTTGTGTGTTACTGATGCTGGGGATGGGGGTAGTTTGCCCCTGTGAAGCTGGTAAAGAAAAGATCAGACACAGTACTCCCCATGTGGCCCTCATTCTCCTACAACTGGTCTGGCCAATAGCTCAGCAGCAAGGTGTGGAATCACTGCACAGAAAAGGCAAGGGGGAAAAAAAAAGAAAATGCAAGGGACTAAAGCAACTCAGTGTCTTAAATACAGTATTCATCTTATCTCTGACTAACAGCTAAGATTTTATTTCATGGTAAAAAAGATTGCATGCTTCCCTTGGGGAGAACTCTGGCATGTATGTCTACTCATACCTCTCATATCATTTTGGAGCTAGATAGTGCAATTATGCAAATAAAATACATATTGATTAGAAAGAAATTTCTTTTTTTTTTATTTCTTCTTAATATTGTGTACACGGAAAATCTAAGGGATTTGCAACTAATAAAGAATTTAGTAAAATCACTAGATACAAGGTCAGTATACCAAAAAAAAAGGCATTTCTATTTCTGTAGGGAAACAGAAAAAAAATAGAAAAGGAAATAAAACCAGTATCATTTTCATTAACATAAAAATCACAAATCACTTTGGAATTAATTTAACAAAATATGTGTAAAATTTAAATCTAAAAACCACCACACTGAGCTAAAAGATATTAAGGAAGACCTGAAAGCCTGTGATTCACTATAGTTCACCGCTTTGCTGACAGTCTGTGGTATGGTGGAGGCCTGTGTGCTGATGTGATGCTGGAACTTATGCCACCAGTATTTCAAATAGCAGCAGGGTCCCCGATGGTGGACAGATTTCAGCAGAGCCTCCAGAAGAAGATGCAAAAGAGACCATCCACTGCTGGAAGAACGAGTCCTGGAGGACCCACAAGTTGAAACAGAACACCGTCTAACAGAGTTCCCGAAGATGAGAGCTTCAGGTTGGAAGGCAGTCAAACGGAAGAATGGCAGAACTGGGCCAAGGGCTGCCTTTTCCAAGTGGAGTCTATCTTAAAGAAGAGGCCAGACTAAAGCTGTCATTCAAGGAAAGATCTTATATAGAGTCATTTGAGTTTTTCTATAAACCAAATGATTCTGTCATACAAAACAGTGAAATATGTACTTCCTGTTCTGAAGCAAATCAAGGAGAACATTTAATTACATGCTAAATTGGGCAGAATAAACTCTAATCACTATAGATTTTAGAAGAACAAGTTGTAAGGCCGTAAGAGTTGGAGAAGACTTCACACAAGCTAAGGGATATCTAGGTGAGCCTCGTTATATTCTAAAGTAACATGAAGATTCTAACAAGTGATTTGTAATTAAAGACAGAGGTAAGAGAAAGTATCTACGAATAACAATTACTACCTCTCAACCCTTGAAAGAATGAGAAATCCTCATAAGGAGAAATAAAAACTATTCCTTTCTGCTTCCTTGACTTCTGTTCAGGTTAAAGGTCAACTTTTTCAAGTCATCTCATTAACACAAAAATGTCTTTTAAGGTATTTGGGGGTCTTTACCAAGTTTGACCAGAGTGCAACCAAAATGTCAAAGACTCAGATTCCAATATTAACGAGCCAAGGTCAGGATGAGGTAATCTCCAAATGTCTATGAGTTCCTGTTTTCTCACTCTCTCCAATTCCCTCTGCCCTGTCTGCAGAGCTCTCTTACTGCAGGCATTTACAGTCACTGGCTTGGCTTCAGGACACACCCTCTAAACTGTAATTTCCCTTGAAGTGCATTTTAAGTGGAGGCCTCCCAGACACTGGATCACAATCCCATGGTGGCATGTGGAGGTATAATGTTAAAATAAAAGGAAATCAGTTGAAAGTTAATTTTGGCATTCAACCACCAGGACAACAACAGCAAAAAAGAAAAAAAGAAACTCTCTTTCAAATTTTCCAATAAGCTATTTAATAATGTGACAAAGCTAAGAACATTAAAATATTAACCAAAGCTTCCAGGAAAACCTCTATAATCTCAATTGTTTATTCAAGACCTTTACAAACCTCATAAAAAAATAAAGTGGGCTAGGAAAAAACACACCACAGCCATAGGAGAAAGTTTACAAAACACAATGGTGCAGACGCCCGACTGTCTGCCAGCCAGGCCCTTTTAACTTCCACATACGCTTATTACTCAGTCCTAACTGTTCAATACCCTAAATAAGAGCCTTTTCCCTCCCAAACACCTCGTTACCCTGAAGGGGTTTTTCCCTCCTTCTTCTTCTTTTAGTTAACATATCCTGTGGGTGCTCTGGTTCATTACTTTCTACCAACAACAAATGCTTCATTTGGGACTATTTAAAAATCTTAGGTTTTTCTGAGGAAAGTCATTTAATATCTCCTTTACAAAAATTAATTAGCTCTTTATTTAAAGTCACCCTGGGATGACTGTACCTGAATCATCACACCTATTTTATAGGGATGTATTAGTGAAAACAAGGTTAAGACTAAATAAAAAGTGATATGCTACAGAGAAAAAAGAGCAAAGATTTATTTTGTTTTCATATAAACTTGAGCTCAAGTCCTGGCTCTACTACTACTGTGACCTTTAAACAAAATTGTTTCATCTCAGACTAAGCTTTCTCAACAGCAAAATGAAGATACTAACAACTATTTAAATATTATATACATGTAACACAGGAGATAATGTAGATATATGGAACCTTTCAGACTACACAGTAGGGGCTTAATAGATGGTAAGCACTTTGTGATAAATATTTGTCTTTTTGAATAGTAATGTCCGAAGTTTCAAGGGACATTTAAAGTAAAGCTATGAAGCTTATTTGGGTCTCAAGAAGAATTGCATTAGCTTTTTTGCAGAAAAATCCAACATATAAATTCAAACATAAGCTAAGCTCATAGACAAATTTCATTCACCTAGAAAGAGATGCTGACTTATCACAGTGCAAGATCCTAAGCATGAAATATTACTATTTCCTTGTCTTTAGCGAATTAAATCATGTGTATAGAAACAAAACAACAAAAACCCAATCTGTCCAGTCTCCTCATTCTGTGCTTTTTCAAGGGGTACCTATAAGGAGCAGTGAAAGAGGAAATTTTTCATTATAGTGTGCTTTTCTAAAAGCAACAAAATATGTTTATCATTAGAGAAGAGGAAACCTGAAAGACTGCCTTGTTAATTATGGGACTTGCTATCAAAAAGCTCATTAAAAGCTAATAAAACCAAATGGCTATTAAAATAAATACTCACGGTGGGGGAGGGGTTGTCTAGCTAACAGCCTGTTATGGATTGAATTACTTAGTCCTCTTCCATCCATCACCTGATTCCCCTAAAAATAACTGTTTCTATGCTTGTGGTTTTAATTTCAGGTGTGGTTGAGTCACCTTTGTTATGTTAATGAGATGGGATTAGCTCAGAGTGTTTCCTA